GAGTGTGTGTGTGTGTGTGTGTGTGTGTGTGTGTGTGTGTGTGTGTGTGTGTGTGTTTTACTTGATCTTTGAATATTATAAAACAGTACCCTAAAAAAGCAGATCTTATACGTGTCTACCCTCAGGGTGTGCTAACACGGGTCACTTTGGAGTGTGCATGCCACTTCTTCTTACAACAAGTCCCAGGATACCAATGATAAAACTTTTATGGAACCACTACACACACACACACACACACACACACACACACACACACACACACACACACACACACACACACACACACACACACACACACACACACACACACACACACACACACACACACACACACACACACACACACACACAGATCACACGCAGATCGCACACACATGCAGATCAGCAGATCACACGTTCACACAAACGCCTTTATTTGCCCACAGTTGCAGTGCTGTACTCCTACAGTATCCCCCTTTAATATTTCACCAGACATCTTCTCTCTTCTGGTTCAATCATAACTTTTTTGCGATCGCCAACTCTTCTTTCAAACATCTTATTTTCATTTATTTCTTAGGCTGTAAAACTGAGGTTTAATTAAAGTTTGTGCAATGCAAGTTAATGGTTATTTTTACTATGTTTATGTACTACAAAACTGACATAATCAACTAAATGATCAGCCTTTTCTTGTGACTTAAAAGCACCGTTGCTTCTCATAAAGACGACCAAGGGTGCCCTGGTTTGAGATGCAGAGGGCCATGATAAATTGTCCATATTTGACGCCATGGGAATAATGCCAGGTTCTCCTCTCAAATATCCGTCTTCCTACATCTCCCCTCTCACACTTCATTAGCATCACTGTATGAAGGCCAACTGTAACTGATTAGCAATACACTAGGGTAAACTGTTCCCATTTGAATATGAGTGTTTGTCTCTGGTTGTGTGTGTAGAACAATAAATACAGTATTTGTGTGTTAAAAATCATGATCAGGTTTATTCCAAGATGGGGTTAAACATATGGAAATTGCTTTGGTGTGTATCGGTGCTTACGCAAAGAGGAACTAAGTTTCAAATAATGAGAACATATATCACTAAACTTTTGGAACAAAAAAATGCCCCACATAAAAATAAATGTCAAAGTTGCAATAACATAATTGTAAAGAAAATATAATATGTACAGTTTATAAGGATTTAGAATATAAGAACTGCAGATTTGAAAAAAGGAGCATTCTGCTGAAATGTGCATAATGCACAGAAAGTCCCTACACATTGAGAAATGTCTGTGTATGTGTGTGTCCAGTTTTAAATGTGTGTATGTGGAAAAGCATGAATATTTATGTATCAGTAGTGAAGCACAGGCCTCACTTTACGCTGGTAAACAATAGGTACAATAACTCTATTTTAAATGAACAAATGTGTGTGCCTGAGTTTGTGTGTGTGTGTGCTCCTCCATATGTGATGGTGTGTGTGCCAGGCTGTGTGTCGCTGGGTGGCCTGTGTAACTCTGCGCTGTAAACGAGCTGGCAGAGGGAGGGAAGGAGTGATTGAACGGTCTTCCCCCCCCTCTTCCTGTGGAGTAACATCAGGAGAAGTTGTTGAATATGAATGATGTTAATGAAGAGTCGAGCTGTAAAAAACAGTTAACAGGCCGCTGTTGTAGGAAGTTGTGTTTACAGTATGTTCGATTCATACAGATCAGTATGCAGTGTTGCTTCAGAAGAACTTCATAAAGATGTGGAACATAACTGCACACATGCGATGCACACTCTTTATGTATATTCGTATTGTCTCTCCCCCTGCAGCACTCATGAGTGCACAGGCAGCCTCTCAGGCACACACACACACATTTATGGCCTCCATATAGTTGAGATGGATGAGTGTGCGGTGACTGACAGTTGATTCATCGGTCCTGCAGCCACCATACATATTCTAATAGCGCCTTTAGGAAAGTAAATAAACTTGCACAGAGTGAGATCAGGTCTTTGCTCTCAGACAGCCGTGGAAAGGGGCCATTATTCTTAGTGAGAATATCTTAGCTGTCAACTGAAAAAGCACCTGCCACAGAGAGAAATAAAAGATTCATACTAATAGACCCCAAACTTCAAACTTCAATCTTTTGCAGTTGTTTGAAAAGCTTACTGCATTGAGGGGAGGAGTTCATTTGCAACACGTTGGGCACCGAGGCATGGTCCATCGTGCATGCATTCATTTGACATGGAACTGCATGGATATGCACATTTTAGCAGCAGACTGTGAGTGATACGTTTGCTGTCAATCATCTTTCACATTTCAAGATTCATGGTTGTCCATTTGAAACAGTGAAACACTGCAAGTAGACAACACAAAGAATATGATAATTACACAGCAGGATGAATAACTGTTTACTGTCTTACCATGGTCATGAAATATTGGACATTTGTGCATGATTGCCTTTTTTTTATAAACTTTAAAATCGGGGTGAAAATAAATGAGGGGAGGAAGATGATATGCAGCGTAGTTTCCCAGCCAGATTTGACCTTGGGACATTAGGATTATACGGTCAGAAACTTTGATTTTTTTCTAAGTACTTTATAGATCCATGGTTTCCTAGTTCAATTTGTATTTTGTAGCGTGCATGTCTAGGTGCTCAGTCAGACATATCTTGATCTCTCTGAAATCTTATCATTCACAGCAAGGCTATGACAACAATTTAAACTTCATTGATGCAAAAGACCATTCATTGATATCATACTGATACTAGGATCACCACAAATGCAAGAGCTATCCATGGTACCTCAATAACTCTGTTGAGAATGATTCTCAGATTAACATGACAACCCCAATAATGTCCCTTCCATGGTTTGAAAGGATGTGGATTCAGAATGAGTTTGCTGTGTCTTGGATTCATTTGTTAGTCTGCCTCTCAGTGCTGTAGAGAAAGGATAGAGTTTCAAAAAGGAGCCTATAGCGCCTAGGTGTACCTTTACGCTTGACTTGACTCAGTGGAAACCAAGTAGTGCGTTTTTCAGTGAATCTTTGTCAAATAACTTAATTGTCAACAAAACACACTTAAATTATACCGCTACCTTGACATGCACCCTTTCATACACACAAATACACTGATAGAAGACAGTATGAATGCACATTTGGAGTTAAGTGGATATAACACCCGACAAATGATTGAACTCAGACACCATTTATAGTTTGTCTGAGTTGTTTCAGTACGCTCTACCAAGCTTTCTGTATTTGTACCATCGTGTCTATCATTTCAAGTAGTTCTCACTATTCATTTGGATGTTGCAGACCGAAAATAAGTCGCTTTCTGGAGTTTGGTTTTGAAAGCAGGAGGGAGTAATAAAACCTTGAATGCTTTTAGCCTTGACAGAGGTCATTAGTTTCAAGTCACTTAATGTGAAAGTCTGGTGGCAAAGTAGCTGTCAGCAACATGTCAACAATGTGATGGATTAGTGTTACAGGTTGAGAATCTCTCTGCAAAATGCAGCTTTAAATGCCACTTGTTTTCAGTGAGGAAGTTGAACTGTGTCTACTCTAATATTACATTTACATCACATTGTAACCATTTAGTGACTAATAGACAGTATGTAGCTGTGAGGATAGAATATACTTGGATTTCTGGATCATACTGACTCCTTCACAGTAACAGTTACAACATATTCCAAGCATCTATGGAAGTATCACAACAACATTTTTTTTTAAACTCTCTAACTGGTGTAAAAGTGGATATTGATACAGCCATCATAAGCTGGACTGCGATTGCTATTGAGTGTGAGAAGTAAAAAAAAAATAAAAAAAACAATCAGCTTGGAAATATTGGACTTTATGGGTAAATCAATTGAGGTCTGCAAAGATCCTGATACATAAACTCCACATAATGAAATGATGCATTTCAAATTGTGTTTGTTATTTCTTTTAAATTACATTCTACATCCCAGGGGCGGCTACTCACTTTGTTTATTATCTGTGTATTGGATGCTTAGGCACAACTGATTGGACTCTGATTGAGTTTTTAAGGAAGATGGGTCCAGTTATTTATCCTGATATAACAGCACTAAGCTCGGACGGGGGAAGAGTTACAGTTAAACAAGACACTGTGTTTGTTTTCTGATTGGTTGGTGAATCAGCGGAAACACTTTTTTCAATAGGCAAGAGATTAACATAAAGGATATGACAGTATCATGAGATGACACAGAGAAAATACATATAAAAAGTAAATAATAATAATTAATAACAATGATAATATCTATTTTTTTAAAAGGGGAAAAGACAAGGACCCCTTAAACAATTTCAAATCACTAGGTTAACTGTCAAACATAAGAACCAAAAACAAACATATGACATGCACAGCATATTTTGTATTCCATATAATGCCACTCTTTTTAGAGGTCATTTTCTACCATGTCATCTTGTGTTTTGCCAATTTGTGATTGTTTTTGTCAATGTTTTTTGGCAAACATTTGAATTCAGATTACTCCCGGTGAGCTTTTAAATGTAGTATTACCAAACAGAAAATGTCATTTATTATCTGTGGACCACTTCCATCCAAACCCCCAGACAAAGCGTTAAAAAGTGGGAATTTATCAAATCAAACCGACTCAATCAACACTTAACTTACCACCTCTGTTCCTCTATCACAGCTCCTCCCACCCCCATCGCTCCACCTGAGCTCCTCGCTGTCGGGGCCACTTACCTTTGGATCAAACCCAACGCCAACAGCATCATCGGCGACGGGCCCATCATCCTGAAGGAGGTGGAGTACCGAACCACCTCAGGAAACTGGGCGGAGACCCACGTGGTAGACTCCCCTACCTACAAACTGTGGCATCTGGACCCAGACGTGGAGTACGAGATCAAAGTCCTGCTGTCCAGACCTGGGGAGGGAGGAACGGGCCCCCCGGGGCCGCCGCTGGTCACAAGGACTAAATGTGCAGGTAGGTTACTCCTCTTCTGATATTTTCCCCTTCAAGCTTCACTTCTCTTCTTTTTTGTCATAATTATGTTGTTGAGGATAGCTGTATTATGGGTCAGAATTATGGGCCATTTTTTACACTCATATAATGAACTGAATACCCTCTTAACTCCTCAAATGCAATGTTGTCAGTGGGTGATTGTAGTAAACGGAGACTAAGCTCAAAGTTTAGAATGGTTCAAGTATGGTTGAGCTTTGGTCTGAGTGATTTGATTTAGAGAAAAAGTAGAGTTGTCTTGAGTAACAATGCGGAGTTTCTTTATCTTTGATACATTTTCTCCTTGTGAAATCTTGTACATGCCAATGTCTACTCAGGGTTTCCCACACAGTGGCCATCAGGAGGACCGGGGGGTTTCCCGATGGCCTGGCCTGTTAAATTAATGTATTGTGAACGCAACGCTGCAAAAATGTAGGTCTGCCTCACCCCCCCCTCACACACACACACACACACAAGGGGGTGACTAGTATTAAGGTAACAACTCCATATGATTTTATCTTTCTATGACACGTTAAAAGTTGAGTGTAACCGAAAGCGTAGTGCGTAGAGACATTTCATACACATTAAGTCGTCATAATGTGAAAGAGGTGATTTGCCGAGCGACGTCGAAGGGGGGGGGGGGGAGGAGCTAAAGAACAATCGCTATGTGTCGGTTTGTGTCGTTGAGTTGGACTTGTGTGGGTTTCAGTGTCGGCTTTATATTTCTGTTATTCACACCGAACTTTAAACTCATTCTTTTTCCAAATTATCCAACTATTTGCGACACTCTTACCCAGACGCTCTCTTGAAAGCGCGCTGAGGGTTGACAGAAAATAGTCGGACGTCGTCCCTCGTCTTTAGTTCGTCCCGGACGGACGATGACTCACACACACCACAGTAACCAGGTTGAAACCTGGTTAAGTCGCCCCCGAATTGCATTGCCGAGGCGCCTGCCTTGCATTGCCGAGGTGCCTAACGCGGGTAAATCAAGGCCCATGCACGAATGCATGGGCCTTGATTTACCGGGGCATGCGGCCGTCTTAGTTTTACTGCTACTGCAGTACTTACTGCAAAGTCGGTTGCTCCGCAAACCCCTCCATAAAAGACAAAATTCTCAAAATGAGCGATGTCCCACCATGAAACTCCAAAACTGAGACGTGTGCAAATGTACGTCTTTGTTTGGAAGTTTTGTGTGTCCCTGGCCCATTATTGGCCTTTTACGTACTGTAGACCGCAAATGGTTTATGAAGTGTAAGTGGGTCAAACACGTGTCATCAACATCGTAAAAAACCGTCTGAAAATTTGAAATTAATGGCGACAACGC